ACACTCCTCAACCGGCCAAGGGGCAGTAAGGAGAGGAGAAAGATGTGCTGTGGCTGAGCCGTGTCAGCAGGCCTTGAGTTCAGGAACTAAGAGGCACTGCAAGATTGATGAGGCCGAGCCAACGCTTGAGAAAAATGAGGAAGTTGAAGAGAGAGAGAAAAACACAAGTCAAGCTTTGAGATGAGTTTCACTTTTCAGGCTGGAAGACATTTCTTGTCCCTTTTCCCTGGCATCAGGCACAAGGGAGGTTGCTTAAGAGCCATTGAGGAACTGTTCTTATAATCATGACATGAGACTTTCTTCAAAAAAAGTGGCACTTGAAGCTCCATGTAGAATGGGGGGAAGACGCTCTCTTGAACCCTGGACCACAAGGGATGGAGGCAGAGCTACTGCTGTACAGGTGAGGAACCTGTGACCCGCCAGATATTGCTGAATGCCCAGTGGTCCAGCTGGCATGAGGGATGTCGTGAGTTGTCACTTGTCTCATCAGGAGGGTCACAAGTGCCTTCCTTGACTCAGTAGCTCATTGACAGACTTCTTGCCACCACACTCAATCCAGCAGTACCCGATACTGAAATGTTTATCACCAAATAATCAGGTTTATTTTGTCCAGGACCAATCCACTTCTTTTCCTACAGATTGGAAACATGGGAGAACTTCAGAGAAAGGAGTCAACAGGAGGGGAACTTGGAAACAATCTTCCTTAGTTTTCATATCACTGTTCTTATTGCCACTGTGATTAATGCATGTATATTTTGAGACAAGCTGGATAGAGGAGATGCAGGATCAAATCCCCACTTAATCATGACAGTGTCATTTCACAGCCTAACTTACCTCACAAGGTTACAGTGGGTTAAAAGTGGGGGTTGGGTGGGTATTATATTCACTGCCTTAAGCATTCAGAAGAAATTCACCTTATAAATGGAACTCAAGTACTAGTCTTTTAATTCTGGAAAATGTTTCTAGAACACACAATTTGTTAAAAAACTGAGTAGCTACTGAAATCCAGCAGCATTTACACATACTGGTTCCTGCTATACAGGTTGCATTAAACGTCCTGAAAGTGAGACGGTCACTGAACAGAACACCCGGGGTAATGCACTTAAAACCACCATTAGCTGCTGGCTCCCCACAAGCTGGAAAGCAGAATAAAAACTAGTGTAACCAGGGCAAAAAGGACCCATCGCATAGAAGTTTTAGTTTTAGTAACTGCTCCCTTTCAATAATACCATAGTCAGGACTATGGAAGAGCCATTCATTTTCAGCAATAGCAGAATTTTGCTGCTGGAGACATTGTAGGTCCAGAATCAAAGCTTGCAGGCACCAACTCTATATTCAGCATAAATTATCCACTTAAGGATCTGGTAAAAATTTGCCCACCCTATTTCAAATGGAGGACAGATGCAAATTAACCTTCAAAGGATGATATCCCAAGGCTTAGCTTAGATTATTACATAGCGTTTTTCTAGTCCACAAAATGTCCAGAGATGGTATGTTTATTATAAAATACTTACATATTTCTTCTCATTTATATTCATCTCATTTATATCTTCACAAATATTGTAAAACAATGTGGTGAAATAAGGCATCCATTACAAACCCCAATCTTAGGGGAGAAGTGGCTGAGAAGCACAATGTAAGAAAAACTTATTTTTAAAAAGCACTCCTTTTTAAAAAGAAACGATGTAACAAGCGTAAAGTAAGGCATGTAAACACCAAAATTCTTTTTTTTTTAATAGTATTTTATTGAAATTTTTAAGATTACAAAGTTAAAAGTTAGAAATGAAGAAGAAAATTGAAAATACAAATTATAAAGAAAAGGAAAAGAAAAGGTGAGATAAAGTAAAAGAAAAAGAAAAAAGACATGAAAAATAGATATCTTCCAATCTATCTCTGGTCTTAAGAATAATATAAGTGTCATAAGTGCTAGTTTTTAATGCTTTAAGTAGGAATAATTCTTTGTCAAAGCATATCCCATTACATAAAAGGAAAAGAAAAGGTGAGATAAAGTAAAAGAAAAAGAAAAAAGACATGAAAAATAGATATCTTCCAATCTATCTCTGGTCTTAAGAATAATATAAGTGTCATAAGTGCTAGTTTTTAATGCTTTAAGTAGGAATAATTCTTTGTCAAAGCATATCCCATTACATTTATAATCTAATCTTCAAGTCCCCATGTAAGCTTTGCCCCACCTGCATTTTGCAAATAGTCCATCAATGGTTTCCATTCT